CTTTTTGAATCGAACATTGTAATGTTTTTCATTCCATCATTTATTCTTCATATATATCTCAGAATGATTGACGAGCTATCGAACTTATATATATATATATTGGCGTCATATTGTATCTGCAATAATTTATTCGTTTAGAGAAATAAATTTTGAATGATGAAGAATGAAATTGATGCAACATTCGTTAAATATTTTGTTTTATTGATCATAAAAGTCATTGTGTCATTAATACCAGAAATGATCGAAGCATTCTATTAAAATGATTCAATACGGTACTAGTCTCATTCTTTCAGACAAGTATCAAGAGAAAAAAGATGCTTCAAATAAAAGCTGAAGTTTTGTTCTTAAATATTTAAAAAAAATGTTAATATGGTTCGACATAAAAAACTGATATTCGCTATTTGTATCATAACATGTTGACCACTTAAAATGTAGCGCCTAATCTAATATGGTTGAGTGATTTTGGAAAAAAAAGTTCACATTGACATATTTTTCATTTAATTTCGTTATATTATAACTTTTGATAGGAACAAGATAGAGAGCTGCGATTTTCACCATTCGAAAGATAATTTCTATAGGTACCTTTGGGTCAATACTTTTCCTTTGAGGATTCTCATCAATTTTCACAATAATCTCAGCTCAAATTATGTCAAAAAGTACCTCAAACCATTCTTTTTTCGCTATAAAATTAACATTTATTTCTTTTTAAACTTCGCTTAGAATAAGAGGTTGAGAGATACTGACATATATGATAAACTTATAGCGAGAAAAGGGTGATTTGAGCTACATTTTGACATAGTTTGAGTCAAAAGTGATTGTGAAAATCTTCAAATGAAGTGTTGATCCAAGGGTACCTATAAAAAAGCATCTTTCGAACGATGAAAACAGCAGCTCTCTATCTCGTTCCTATCAAAAGTTATTTGAAAAATAGTAACTTGCCTTTTATTTTGGATCAGATAATAGATTGTAGGACTTTTCAAGCTACATCTAGTGGTACATCCTGCTTTCGTAAACAATCATACCTACACACTAAAATATGAAATGCTACGTGTGGCCATTTATTATGAGTCGTCCATTATATTCAAGTAAATCATTTAGAGAAATGCTATTTTAATAATTTTATCTCTTCTTATATGAACATCAAAATATATTGTACATTCATTACATAAACCAAATTTTCAATGCAAACTATTTTAAATTATAAATATTCTAAAATAAATAGAATAGAGCAAATTTAAAGAAAAATTTTTATTATTAGAAAAACAAACGTAAAGGATTTTATTAAGGAGATGAGAAAAAATCAATAGCAACATATGGAAATCACAAAATAAGCATCAATAATTAACTCACAAGGATATTATTAAAAAGCAAAATGTTGTAACAATTTTTATGAAATGATATCATTCACACAAAGAAATCATACAGAATATTTAACTTCGATAGAAATCGGGCAGTTTTGAACTGAAACACAAAACAAATTTATGAGATGAAGTAACGTTAATTTTTCACTAATCAAAATCTCTGGCTCATTTGGATTTTTATCAATTATATACTTATCTACGTTCATTTCCTATTCAAATAGACACACACACATTGTTTTTTAAAAACGAAAGAAAATTAAAAAAAATAAATGACTTGTTAGGAAATTATTAATATAGAAACAGAAAGTTAAATTCTACTAAATTGATTGTTGAGTACTTTGAAAGCTTGAATAAAACATATGAGATCTTTCAGAATACTTAAAAAAGAATATCTGTTAAAAATACGTAAACTGATAATATTTTTAATAAATAGATGAACGATGATTGAAAAATAATTGTCGAATATCATTCATTGTTTGACATTCATTGATCATACCATTAACTCTACATTTCATGTATGAATATTTAAACGATGAATTTTTTTCAATTTCTTCCATCATAAAATAAGCAAAACTTTGATGAAATGTTAATTCATCACTAACAACGCATTTAATAATACTTTGAAGAATCCGTGAAGCATTAACTAATGGAATGTATTGACCACCTAAAATTAACCGAAAAAAAAAATTTATGAATGAAAATAAGAGAAGATTTGGTTTTTACCTGTTTTCTGAGCTAATGCACAATAAAAATCATCACATTCATTAATACCTTCTCCAACACCAACAACAACCAATGTTATATTTTGTTTTATGAACTCATCCGATATGACCCAAGGGTCTGCACCATTTAATGTCGTAAAAAGACCATTCGGAGCACCATCAGTAATTAAAATAACAAGTTTTCTGTTGAATATCTGATTGTTATTCTGAAAAATACAAAACAAAAAATGTCTTATAAAGCTGCAAAGACTTTACACACATCAACACGCCATCCGACGTTGAGAGCTTCATGTAACGCATCACCTTAAATAATAAGTGAAGTATTGAATTGCGTACAAAATATTCATTTAGATTGTCGTCAGACTAATTTCAAGTAAGAACTTTTACGTTGTTAAAGTTTGAAAAACTATATTCACTCAGATATGATATTCTTCTCTCTTAATTTATAAAGAATCGCTCAAAGTAATTCAAAACTTTTGCAATGTATTATGTTCATAAATAGAACATAGTGTAA